CCCTCACCTCCTTTAAGATGAAAGATATTCCACTGAGATCCTTTAAGATGAGCTGTGCACGATCACATGTTGGAGCTCTAATGGTCCTCCCAATGGTTCTCTCCCCCAGCCATGGAGGAAGCCCTTTTATCGATCTTAATCCAATCACAGCTCTGCGTTGGGTCAGCTGTTCCGGTCTCTTCCTAGTGGTAAAAAGGAACTCCAGACCCCAAGTAAAATGGAGAATCCGGATTGTCTCATCAGTGGTAGAAATGGTTCCTTTGTATTACTGGGCAACGTCCTATTCAAGGCTCCATTCCGCTTTGTCTTCTGCTCTAAAGTTCCACCTCATCATCCAAGTGACACCAAGACCAACCGCAGTCACCCCCCCCCCTTTTCCAGGGTCACCCAAGGCTGCCATGACACCTATGAGGTCATCAACATACGTACTAGGTGGAGGCAAGATGTAGACAATGAGCGGAGCTCCTTCAGCACCCACAATTCTAGTGGACAGGAGGATCATTCACACTAGAGACATCCTGCGCACGTCGGGTCCCTTCTCCTGACCAGATTTATTTTTATCAAACACCTTAAAAATGATGCTGCCGCCTTTCTCCACTAGGGTTCCTCCAGAGGTTACTAGCGACTAGCGACCACCAAGGTAAGGGGGTCCTTCACTGACCACCAAGGTAAGGGGGTCCTTCTCTAATGACCTCCCTCCAAGGTAAGGGGGTCCTTCTCTACTGACCTCCAAGGTAAGGGGGTACTTGTCTACTGACCTCCAAGGTAAGGGGGTACTTGTCTACTGACCTCCAAGGTAAGGGGGTACTTGTCCACTGACCACCAAAGTAAGGGATCCTTCTCCACTGACCACCAAGGTAAGGGGGTCCCTACTCCATTGACCACCAAGGTAAGGGGATCCTTCTCTACTGACCACCAAGGTAAAGGGGTCCTTCTCCACATACCACCAATGCAAGGGGGTCCTTCTCCATTGACCACCAATGCAAGGGGGTCCTTCTCCACATACCACCAATGCTAGGGGATCCTTCTCTACTGACCACCAAAAGGTAAGGGAGTCCTTCTCCACATACCACCAATGCAAGGGGGTCTTTCTCCATTGACCACCAATGCAAGGGGGTCCTTCTCTATTGACCACCAATGCAAGGGGGTCCTTCTCCATTGACCACCAATGCAAGGGGGTCCTTCTCCATTGGCCACCAATGCAAGTGGGGCCCTTCTGTACTGGCCACCAATGTAAGGGGGTCCTTCCCCCACTGACCTCAAAGGTAAGGGGGGCCTTCTACGCTGACCTCTGCATTTCTTTTCTGGACATTATTTGTTTCATTTCATTATAATGACTGAAAATAATCCTGATGTACAGCATGGTCCGGGGGTGTACAACACATTAACTATGACATATTCATGATTCTTTTATTCATTCTTATATTTCAACTTACTG